TGATTCTGGTGGTGATGGTGAGGATGATGCTAATGATGGTGATGATGTTTCACAAGGTCGGAGAACCGTTGCTCGAAAGGCCGTTCAAGATTTGCATGAGTTCAGGAGGATGATTAGGGCAAATACACGGAGAAATAGAGAGGAGGATAAAGGAGAGGGTGAGGGCACATGTGTGGGGGCGAAGAGGAGAAGAGACACCCAAAGGGCTTCTTCGTTTTTTCCGGCAAAGGGAGCGAGAGAAGCTGGTGGTGGTGCAGAAAGGTTTGCTACAGCACGATTGGCAGCTGCAGCGGCAGGATCAGAGGCACACCCAGCAACAGCAACAGCAACAGCAACAGCAACAGCAACAGCAACAGCAGCAGCAGCAGAAGCAGCAGCAGCAGCAGCAGCAGCAGCAGCAGCAGCAGCAACAGCAGGGGCATCGGTGTCAGAATCTGTTGGGAGGAACAGTGCTGTCACAGACGGATGTTCGCGAACCAGAGGGGACAGACGTTCCACCGCTGCTACAGTTGCTACTGCTGCTACCGCTGCTACAGCTGCTGCAGGTGCCAAAGCTTCTGAAGCAGCTACAGCTGCTGCTACAGATGCTACAGCTGCCACAGCTGGTGTGATCGTGTACCAGAGAAAAAAGCTTCGTGAAGCAGGTGGTGCCATGTCCAAAGGAGAGAGAGATTCCCTGGTGGTGTGTGCGGATCTGAGTGGGGGGAAAGAGCGGGTGCCGATACTATGTGTGGTGGACGGGGCAGTGATGCAGGGAATGAGGGGTGGGGAGAGGAAAGGGGAGGAGGAGGGAGGGGGTTGGGAGCGGTGGAGGGAGTTTGAGTACATCACGCAGCGGTACTTCGACCCCAACCTTGGGCTCGATCTCACTGTGAGTTGACTTTTCAGGCGCCGAAATCATCCCCCTGACTCAGGAGGACACGGAGGTAGGTGGGAGCGTGCAAGATGAATGACTTTTGAGACGTCTCAAAAATGACTCATGAGGACACGGAGGTAGGTGGGAGCGTGCAACGTGAACGGAAACGTAGGCTCCCTTCTTTCTTTGTGAATTTCTTTCTCCTTCACTCCTTCTTTCCTCCTTTCTCTCCTCCTCCAGAGCTGGCAGCTGGGCTGTGTGTGCGAGGGCCCTGCATGTGATTTCAGGGTGTGCGACCAACCACGTGGCGTACTCACAGCAGCACACTGAGAAGGGTGGTGGCTGAGAATAAAAAGCTCAGACTCCCATTTTCGCTTCAATCTTCTGTTCCCAACCCTGAACTCTCTCCTCCTCCAGAGCTGGCAGCTGGGCTGTGTGTGCGAGGGCTGTGCCTGTGAGTCCAGGGTGTGCGACCACCCACGTGGCGCACTCCCAGCAGCACACAGAGGGGGGTCGGAGTGATATGAGAAGGGAGTCGGGAACCCATTCTCCCTCTTTCACTCCTCTGTTCCCTTTCTCCTCCACCAGAGCTGGCATCTGGGTTGTGAATGCGAGGGCCCAGTGTGCGATCCCAGGGTGTGCGACCACGTGGAGCACTCCCAACAGGACACCGAGGGGGGTGGTGGCTGTGGTGAGAAAAAGGGAGTTTATGACCACGTGGCACACCCCCAGGAGGACACGCAGGGAGTTTATGCCCCCTCTTCCCTTCACTTCTTCTTAACCCTAAATCCTCCAGAGCTGGCAGCTGGGCTGTGTGTGCGAGGGCCCTGCCTGTGATCCCAGGGTGTGCGACCACGTGGCGCACTCCCAGCAGGACACGGAGAGGGATCGGTGTGATATGAGAAGGGAGTGGGGAACTCATTCGCTCTCTTTCACTCCTTTGTTCACTTCCTCCTCCAGAGCTGGCAGCTGGGTTGTGAATGCGAGGGCCCTGCCTGTGATCCCAGGGTGTGTGACCACGTGGCGCACTCCCAGCAGGACACGGAGGGTGAAGCGTGCGACGTGAATGGGAAGTCAATGCGAGGACGCTTTGCCTACGACAGCAACGGCAGGATCGTGCTTCAGGTAGGAAAAAAGATTGCGTGCTTCGGGTATGGGAAAAATGGAACAGGAAAAAAAAAAAAAAAACACACACACACACACACACACACACACACACACACAAGAAAAGGAGCGACTTCTGAGGTGTTTCCGGACCGAATGAACTCTTTGCTCGTCTTAGGCAAAGTGTCCTGGCATGGACTGTTTTTATCATTGCATGGATGGACCCTCGCTGACTGCAGTGTGTTGCCACTTGCACTGTACTTGCAGGGACTTATTTCTTTTGGAAAGAAAGAAAGAAAAAAACACACAAAAAAGTATGTGTTTATGTTTCCTGCTTAGCATGCCCTGCTCTCATCCCCTCCGCCCATCAGAGAGGCCTCCTGGTCTACGAGTGCAATGCACGCTGTGGGTGCGATGCCCTCAAGTGCCCCAATCGGGTGCTGCAGCGGGGCATTCAGCATCGCCTTGAGCTCTTCCTCACTCCTCACAAGGTCAGCCCCTCTCAGTTTGCTGTCTGATTGACTTGACTGACTGGATGCCACATGGCATGGCATGGCATGGCATCAAGTGCCCCGATCGGGTGCTGCAGCGAGGCATCCAACACCACCTTGAGCTCTTCCTCTCTCCACACACAAGGTCAGATTTTTCCATTCTCCTGACTAACTAACTCACTCACTCACTCACTCAATCATTCACTCACTCACTCACTCACTCACTCACCCACTCGTCCCTTCACCCTGTCGCTTCCTCACGACTCACGAGGTCAGCTTCTTCCATTCTACTCACTCTCTCACTCACTCACTCACTTGTCCCCTCACCCAGTCGCTTGCTCACTCCTCACGAGGTCAGCTTCGCTCACTCTGTCTCACCCTCTCTCAACATGATTGTGCCGTTGCTTACACATGTGCTCCTGCCCCTCATGCAGGGCTGGGCCGTGCGAGCGAGCAGCAGAGCCATTAAAGCGAGGCACCTACGTGTGCAAGCGGTTTTCCCCTCAATACGCCTTTCTTCGTATCTCCCCCTTCACCTCTGCGTGCAGTGCAGGGCTGGGAGGTGCGAGCAGCAGAGCCGTTAAAGCGAGGCACCTATGTGTGTGAGTACATTGGAGAGGTGGTGGGCAGTACAGAAGCCAAGCCGGCAGACACTCTCACACCTACTCTGAGTGCCCACTATGCTCCCCTCATGCAGGGCTGGGCGGTGCGAGCAGCAGAACAACTGAAGCGAGGCACCTTTGTGTGCGAGTACATTGGAGAAGTGGTGGGCAGCACAGAAGCAGCCACACGCGCACAGGCATACCCCGAGATTGGCTCTTATCTGTACGATATAGACGCACACATGGACGCACCCCGTGCTGCTTTGCACTGTGGTTCAAGTGGGAAATTATCAAGAGAAGAGACGCGTAGTTTAAAGAACCAGGGCAATGCGTTGGTCAAGAGAAGAAGGAGGTTGGCACGGACTGGTGGGCGTGCTGCTGGGTGGGTGAGGAGAAGTGAGCAGCTGGAGAGGGAGAGAATCAAAGAGAAGTGGAAGAGGGGTGAGGAAGGATGGGAGGATGAGGAAGAGGAGTTGGAGGAGAAGGGGGAGTGGTGGGATGTGGGGAACATGGAAGACTGGGAGCTCGAGGAGGTGGGGCTGAAGAAGCCGCTGCGGCAGCAGCAGCAGCAGCAGCAGCACTTTGTGATTGATGCGACGCGGCAGGGAAACATCGCAAGATTCGTCAACCACAGGTGAGTGGCATATTGAATCTGGCAGAGGAGTGGTGGGATGTGGGGGACGTGGAAGATTGGGAGCTGGAGGAGGTGGGGCTGAAGATGATGCAGCAGCAGCAGCAACAGCAGAAGCACTTAGTGATTTACGCCACTCGGAGGGGGAACATTGCAAGATTCATCAACCACAGGTGTGTGGCATGTTGGAGGAACCAGAATTCTCTGAGCATTAGAGCAGTTGCGGTAGTGGCAGCAGCAGCAGCAGCAGCAGCAGCAGCAGCAGCAGCAGCAGCAGCACTTTGTGATTGACGCCACTCGCCAGGGGAACATTGCAAGGTTCATCAACCACAGGTGTGTGGCATGTTCGATCTAACAAAACATTCCCGGGTATTCGGGACTGCTGTTTGTTTCATGATCCCCTTATTGTTGGTTTTTCCTGACCTAATATTCCATAATCCACAATATTTTCTCACTCCTGAAAAACCAACAATCAGGACCTGATTGTTGTTATTTTCTCTGAATTTCAGCCCCAATCCCCGAATCTCACTCCTCCCTCCACCTATACCCGCTCCCCTGGGTCCTTCTCCCAGGTGTGACCCCAACCTGGTGAACTACTCGGTGCGTGTGGGGAGCATGGACTGCCATCTCGTATATTTGCACCTCCCTCTCTTTTTCCCACTTCTGTGCCCCACTTCTCCACGCTTTCCCCCTTCCCCTGGGTTCTTCCCCCCCCCCCCGCAGCTGTGACCCCAACCTGGTGAAATACTCGGTGCTTGTGGAGAGCATGGACTGCCAGCTCTGCTCTTCGCATCTTCTGTGATTTTCTCTGACCCACCCCACTTAAACCCCTCACCCTCCATACTCCCCCTCCCAGCTGTGACCCCAACCTGGTGAACTACTCGGTGCTTGTGGAGAGCATGGACTGCCAGCTGGCGCACATCGGCCTGTTTGCCGACCGAGATGTGAGTCCTCTGGTGTGCTTGTAATGAGCAAGTGTGCTCTGTGGTTTTGTAATTGAGCGTTTGGATATCTCCAGGTGTTACTGATTGGACTAGGCTGGAAGTTATTTTTTCTAGATGCGCTGCTGTGCTTCTGACAATTGTTACTACTACTTTTGATTTCACTTACCCCCTCTGTTTGCTGTTGATTTCTCTTTCCGTTTGCTGTTCGTTTAACGATCTGTTTGTCATTTTGTTTGCAGATAGCAGCAGGAGAGGAGTTGTCATATGACTATCACTACAGTTTAGTGGATGGACCGGGTTGCCCCTGCCATTGTGGAGCCAAGAAATGCCGTGGTCGTCTTTATTAGCATGCGTTAGGCAATGTTGTGCGTTTCAATTGGCTATACACATAGGGGAAGTGTTTTGTGATCGGAGCTTGTAAATATGAGATTTTTTTCTACTTTCGAAATGTATCACTATATAGCACTGTTCAATGTGACAATAGGTTATAGGTATGTACTTTTTGTAACAGTCCCAAGTCGTAAATCTCCATCTCCCCTTGTCGAGGCATCTCGAACCGGAGCCGCGACAACATCAGTGGATGACTGCTTTGTTCTCAAGTTCTTCCTGTGATCATTCGCTGTTCCTGTTTGCTGATACCTGACTCGTCGCGCTTTAGTTAGGAACTTAGGGTTAGATCCTCTCCTGTAGACTTAGTTAGAACTTATAACCAATAATACCGACAAGTTAGCGCCATTAACTTACTTATCAGGCAGTGAGCATTACGTTGATTGTAAGCTAAGTGTTTTTTTCACCCGGAACCCAGCGTTTTGTTTACTGGGGATCAGAGGGGCTCCGGATGGCGGAGGGCAGTGGCGCGGACGACGATGCGCTGCTGCGGGAGTTCTTCGCTGAGGTCGGCGCGGTGGAGAGGGATAACGAAGTAAACAGGTGCGATGCAGAGCGGTGACGAAACGAGCAGGTGCGATGCAGAGTGGTAACGAAACGAGCAGGTCCGATGCAGAGCGGTGACGAGATGCGAAGATGCGAAGCAGGACATCACGGCTGAAGGTTGCCTACATTCCTGGTTATTGCTGGTTTGAGATTAGCCTAATTGCCATGAATCTTTTATTCAGGAAATTCTGCCGGTTGACAAATGAAGAAGACCGTAGCATTCTCTCACAGCGTCGAACGAGAGAGAAGTTCCGAGCAATAAAATAGCAGTGAGAGAATGCTTTTGGCTTCTCAAGTCTCGGACTTCGAGACTTCTCTCATTACCGTTTCTGAGCCATCCCTCAATACCTTCCCTCTCTCCGTCTACCTTCCTTCCCTTCCCCTTCCAACACAACCCCCCCTTCTCTCGTTCTCTCACCTTCCTCGTGTCCCTCAGGGTCCTGGCATGTTTCAAGCTGAGACCGTTCGAGCAGCTTAACCTGCCGTTCGTCGTTAGAATGGAGGAACCCCCCCATCCCCCCAACGCTCTTAACACCTACCTTCTCATCTTTCTCTCTTCCTCATCGTTGCCCTCAGGGTCCTGGCGTGTTTCAAGCTGAATCCGTTCGAGCAGCTGAACCTGCCGTTTGATGCAAAAGTGGAGGACGTCAAGAAGCAGTACCGCAAGGTACGTTTCTTAGGCGCCTCAAAGACTGACGCAAGGTACGAGTGTTGGCTGGCAGCTGTCTTGTTGAGGCACCTCGTTACGATGTCACTAGCTGATTCCGTTCGAGCAGCTGAACCTGTTGTTTGACGCCAAAGTGGAGGACGTCAAGAAGCAGTACCGCAAGGTATGGCTTGCTTGTGGGTTGAATTTGAATTCTGAGTTGACTCAATAAGAGCAGCTGAAATGAACCTGCCATTTGATCCGAAAGTGGAGGACGTTAAAAAGCAGTACCGCAAGGTACGATTTTTGGCTGCCAGCTGGCTTGTGAGGCAACTTCTAGGAAACCTCATCACAACGTCACGCGAAGCACTGTAGCAGGTGCCGTTCTGTATTCCCCTCTGGCTTTCCTTACGCGCATAAAGAATTGCCTCTAGTCTTTTGTGTCCTGATTCTGTGTTTCCATCTAGAATAATGCACTCTCCTATTAACCCATCTCGCCTCCTTGATCCGTCGCTCCACTCTGATCCCTCTCCCAGGTGTCTCTGATGATTCACCCGGACAAGTGCAAGCACCCTCAAGCACGAGAAGCATTCGATGGTGATCATACAAACTTACCTGCTGTGAAAGTCACACTCTCTCTTGATTGTAAACCTGTGTCGCCATCCTTGCATGGTATTCCCGTCCATTGCACGAGTACCGTGTTGACCGCTGCCCCTCTCTGTTGCTCGCACTCCAACTGCCTTTCCACTCACCCATCTCGGTGGTGGCCACAGCACAGAAAGGAATACCTCACATTACACCCTGACCTCAGACAAATGGAATACCTCACATTACATTCCTTTGTGTCTCGTTGTCCAATGCCCCTCACTCTTCACACCCTCGTGTCTTCCCATACGCCCACCCACCTGCAGTGGTGGCCAAAGCACAGGAGAAGCTTCTGAGTTCAGACGAATGGGGTTACCTCACATCGCAGTTTGCAGCCGCCAAAGGTAAGCTCGGACGGACCCGACCCCAAACAGCCATGGGCTTCAAGAAGTGAATGTAAGCTTGCTTTGAGACATCTCAGAGCGAGTGGGGCTACCTCACGTCACATGCATGCAGCTGCCAAATGTATGCTCCAACTTTTGAGACGTCTCAAAAGTACCTCACGTCACATGCATGCAGCTGCCAAATGTATGCTCCAACTTTTGAGACGCCTCAAAAGTACCTCACGTCACATGCATTCAGCTGCCAAATGTATGCTCCAACTTTTGAGACGTCTCAAAAGTACCTCACGTCACATGCATGCAGCTGCCAAATGTATGCTTCAACTCGAACTGAAACAGCCATGGGCTTTGGGTGTGAATCGTGATAGTGATTCTTCTTCCACTCTTTCACTCTTCCCCCCCCCCCCCCCCCCCCCCACGCAGCACACCAGAGGACGTGCCGAAGGAGTGCTAGAGGATGCTGAGACGGTTCATTTTTTATTTCTCAACCACCCCACCTTCCTTCCATTTCTGCCATTGATCCCCGCCCCCCATCTCCTCACCGCACACCAGAGGATGTCTTGAGAGAGCGCAAGAGGAGGCTGAAGAAGGAGAGGCAAGGCAAGCCGGCTGCAGACGGGCTGTCTAAAGCAGAGGAGGTACGGTGAGGGGAGGACCATGGTCTAGGCGCAGAAATTGCTTTGTTAATTGTCAAGTCAGAAGGAGAGGCAAGGCAAGCCGTCAGCAGACGGGCTGTCTAAAGCAGAGGAGGTACGGTGAGGGGAGGACCATGGTCTAGGCGCAGAAATTGCTTTGTTAATTGTCAACTCAGAAGGAGAGGCAAGGCAAGTCGTCAGCAGACGGGCTGTCTAAAGCGGAGGAGGTACGGTGAGGGGGGCGGCATGGTCTAGGCGACTCACAAATCTCTGTGTTAAGAGTCGACTCAGAAGGAGAGGCAACACAAGGCTTGCCGGCTGAAAACGGGCTGTCTAAAGCCAAGGAGGTACAGTGAGGGAGGGGAGGTGGTTTAGAGGCAACCCATAAGCAGCACTTTCAGGCCTCACTCGAGTTACAAATTTTGATGTGAGGGAAGGTTTTGAATTAAGGTTTAGGTTTTCCCGTCTCCCTGTGCTCGCTCACAGGAAGCGGCCTTCCTGGCATCATCAGAGTTCAAGGAGCAGTGGCGGTTGAAGGCCCGTGAGCTGTCAACACCAGTGCCTCCCTATCTTACTTTTTATCAATTTGCATATCCCTGTGTTCACACACAGGAAGCGGCCTTCCTGGCATCATCCGAGTTCAAGGAGCTGTGGCGGCTGAAGGCCCGTGAGCTTCTCACAGCGAACGAATGGAGGCGAAGAAAACTCTCAAAGCGGGTGCTCATGGTTTTGTTCTTTCACGTTTTCTGAAACATTTCATTCTCCTATTACTTTTTATGTTGTTTTTTTTTCTGAGACCATCTCATTTCTTAAGCACAGTCGGAGTTAAGGCCTGTTGGAAGTTTGTAACCCTTATGCTTGTGTGTGGGATGTGGGGAGCAGATAAAGGAAGAGGAGGTGAAGATTCAGCAGGAGGAGGAGGAGACAAAGGAGAAGACCCTCAAGGAGAGGGAGCACACGCAGAAGTGGGAGGAAACCAGAGAGACGAGGGTGAGTGTGGTTCTAGCTTGGCACTAAAACGTGTGAAATACTTGCTTTAAGAATTAAGCAGGGAGACAAAGGAGAAGACCCTCAAGGAGAGGGAGCACACGCAGAAGTGGGAGGAAACCAGAGAGACGAGGGTGAGTGGTGCTAGTGTGGTACTATGAAATGTTGCACAGGTGCGCTAATAGTAAACACGGGAGACGAGACGAGGCCCTGAGGGTGAGTGATGTTGGTGTGCTTTCATGAAGAATGGAAAACATTGTGCAGAGAGGATGTCTCCTGGCCGCTGCCGTCTTTTTCTTTCAGATGATTTTCTATGCCTTTCCCAATATCTTTAGGTATGATTCTTATCTATGTCGTTCGATTTGCTTCCTTTTTACCTCAAATGGTTCGTGTCACCTCTTTGTTCTCTTGTCATTCTCCTCGTGTTTTTATTTTGGCCGCATCTGCTCCCATTGCCAGGTCAGCAGCTGGAGAGACTTTCAAAAGAAGGGCAACAAGGTGAACTATGTGCTGTGCTGCACTGTATCGATTTCAACCACTACACTAATGCTGACTCCATTTCACTGACATTCTGCACTCGTTCATACTTAGCTCGTGGTTGGGCTACAATGCATCGTATATGTGCACTGAGCGAATATGAATTCGTTCAGCCTTTTGCACTGTCGTCTAGTTGAGAAAGCATGAGCTATTCGTTTTTTGCACTCCCTGGTGCCCATCCTCCCCCCCGTCCACCCTCTGGCCTTCCCCCACCACCATCACTACCACCACCATGACCATCTTTTTGTATACCTTTTATCTGTAACCTTGTTTCTGTTCTCGTCCTACGCGATCTCGTACCCGCAGAAGGCGAAGGGTGAGCTCAAGCCTCCAGCCATGCGAGCCGAAGATCCAAATAAATCATACGTGAGGCGGCCTGCAAAGAAAGGATGATACGGTAGAAAGCCGCGTAGAGTGGCTTCTGAAAATAACGATGTATTGCAATAGCAAGTGGTGATGCCATCACCCTGAATGTAACTTCATGTACTGTATTTCGCTATGAATGCATGCCACTCGTCGCCTAAACCCACTATAAGCGTACGAACAGCTTATCCGTGGACTGAAGCGAGTTGAGGTGCGTATCGAATATGTCGTCCATCTTTTCCGTTGGCCGAGTCGTGCATTTTGCGAGCCGTTGATGTTTCGGCTGAGCTGATGCGTCCCGTCAACAAGGACCATCTGGCGCGAAGCGCGTCAGCTTCGAAAAAGAACATCCTATCAACCCCCAGGTTCCAAGCACAAGCAGCCGCGGTGAGAAGGGGTGAAAAGTGTTTCGCGGTAGTTGTTTAGGGGTAATTTATAGACCTAGCATAGTCATTGGTCAAGCCTGCGGAACCACCAAAGACGACGGGCAAAACTAAAGCCTTCTGCTGCTGCTGTCTTCATTTGAGGCACAATCAAGCGCAGCGGAATCGAGAGAGCGAACACAATGGTAGTTCTCATCCGAAGACCAGCCAAAATCCATCACTCTTTGCTTTGGCATTTGATACTGTGCAATCCCGAACAGCGGCGCTTTATTGTCGTCGGGAGCAGGCAATTGACGTTTTCCTGAAGTGGAACCTCGTTTGGCGCACGGGTAAATGAAAGCAGTCCCGTTTTCTGGCGTTAGACTCAGCCGTTGCGCTTAAAGAACTGTCTGGGCATTCTTCCTAAGAATTTCGCTTCTTCTCGGAGTAAGCGTCAGTCACTGTTTAGTCCATCGTTTACTTACTCGCATGGTGCTGGAAATCAGATTTCGTTGAGCAGGGTAATAGTTGCATACTACCTTATCAGAACGACGATGGCGATGGAGTATTTACGAAAGCTAGACGACGCGGCCTTCGCGACTCAAGAGATGGACCTGGTTCTGGAGCTGGAGTCGCGAGTCGAGCAGTTAGAGAGCGCAAATAAGGAGCAGGAGAAGGAGATATCCTCTCTAAGAACACAGGTAAGCGTGATCATCATACTGCGGCTATTGCGGTGCGTCTTAGTGCTTCAACGCTCAAATGTTTAGAACTTCCGGGCTAGTCCATTTAGGATATTATACGCAAGTAGTATAACCTTCTCGTTTATCTATCTTGCTGAGATTCCCCGTTTATTTTTCCGACAGCTCTCTATGACAGAGGAGAGTCTCCAACGCGAAAAGGAGGCGTCAGTACGTCTCTTGCAGCTGCTGCAGCAAGAGCGCGAGGCGCGATCGGCCATGGCGGCGGTGAGGGAGGAGGACCGGGTACTATCGGATGCGGATATGGCGGCGCTGATGCAAAAGAACAAAGAGCTTGAGGACGTTCTCCGGAGATTAGAGGAAGATGTGGAGGCGATTTCGCAGGAGAAAGAATCCCTGATGAAAGACAGAGACGGCATGGCGGTGGAATCCAGGTGAGGCGATGGAATCCAGGTGACTGAGCCCTTGCTACAGCCCCTTGCGTAACTCGGCCAACATGCTCATCAATAGCCGCTTGCGCGTTATTTTTTCAAATGGAGTCATGAACAGTGAATCCCATTCGTCATGCGTTTCCTTCGCTCTGATTGCAGCTCGTTGTGCGAGCGGTTGGAGGAGGCGGAGGCGGCGAGCGAGATGCTGAAGCGGGAGAACGAGAACCTCGAGGCTGAGCTGGTGGCTGCGCGCAAATCCCGAGACACGTACTGGAACCACAGCATCGCATTGTACCAAGAAAAGACAAGGTACAAAAAGAGGATGTTAGTCTGCATCAGTGACCTGGGCTACTCCTCAACAAGAGCTGGCTGGAACCACATACCAAGGAAGAAATTTTTTCAAACAGGGTACTGACGGCTCTGAGGGCTTCGATGCCTTTTTTTTGCAGTTTTCAGCAATGAGATTGAGAAGCATCCTCGGACCCGTCATCCATGCATCCTCTTCTTATTATCATCCGTTCGTCCTCGTTCTCTCAACCACGCCATCCCAGGTTGGAGGAGCAGCTCGCGATGATGAATGGGATCACCTTATCCTTGAATCGACTTCCATTCCTCATCCATTCTCCCTCGTTTCCCCATCAACCCCATCCCAGGCTGGAGGAGCAGCTCGCGATGATGAATAAAATCACCAGCACCATGTCGGGTTCGACTGCCAGGCAAAGGGCGGCAGCGCGCCACTCTTTAGCGGGTACAGGAGGAGGCAGCTCAGCCAAGCAGGGCCCAAACAGGGGAACCACACCCACACGCGCTCACGGCCACAACCAGCAGCAACAGCAGCAGCAGCAGCAGTTTCAGAATTACTCAAACCCACTCCAGGCCCACATTTCCCTCACCCCCCCTCCGCCATCCTCGAAAGTGACAGACCCGTTTGAGTTACCAGTTGACTACTCCTACCAGGACGTGCCGTCTACAGCAAACCACCAGTTCCCAGGGCCCCTGGGCGGCCTATGCTTGTCCCCATCCCGGGCTGATAATCCGTCGGTGAGAAGCTTGAATGGGCGGGAAGGCATCTCTGGGAGTAGGATTCCTGGGGCAGGCACGGGAGCAATCGCTGCCGCAGCAGCCACAGCAGCACGGCGGCAGTCGGAAGCTCCTGGTGGGTTCGGTCATTCCTCCGGCAGGCAGCAGCAGCAACAGCAGCAGCAGTCGCCACTGCGGCAGAGGGAGTCGTTCTATCAGGTTAACCCTTCTGCAACAGGAGGAGCTGGAGGTGCTGTATCCCAGCAGCTGCAACAACAGTTGCAGCAGCAGCAGCAGGTACACCAGCTGCAGCACACACAGAAGCAGCAAGCGGCACATCCGCCCACCCTCATCCCCTCCCCGGCCTCCTCTGCGCGTCTCAACTCCGAGCGCTCCTCCATCTGCAGCTCCCCGCGGAGCCCTGGAAAAGCAGGCTCGGGGGGAGGCGGGGGAGGGGGAAGAACCGGAAGCGGGGGAGGAGGGGGAGGGGGAGGGGGAGGCGGAGGTGGGGGAGGCGGAGGCGGAGGCGGAGGGGGAGGGGGGAGGAGCAGAGCAGGTGGGCTGGACGGGAGTGGTGAGTACATGGATGAAAACTGCAAGTCTGGAGTATCGTGGGGGAGTGGGGGGAATGATGTGGGGGAGTCAGGAGGGGAGGAGTCCGAGGGGAGTACGAGTAAGATTCCGCGGTACAGTGGCAGCAGTAGGCTGCCTGTCCCTGGTGCAGTGAACGGTTGCCGTGCTGGGAGTGGGGGCAAGGTTTGGCGGTAGCGAAGGTCCAGTGGAATAAGCTTTTATACTTGGACTGCCATTGGAGGGGGAAGTCAGGAGGGGCGGAGTGTATGTGGGAGCACCCATGTGATCTGTTGCAGTATAGTGGCAGCAGTCGGTCGCCTGTCCCTGGTGCAGTGAACAGTTGCCGCGCTGGGAGTGGAGGCAAGGTTTGGCGTTAGCAAGGTTCCAGCAAAATAAGTTTTAATACTTCCACTTTTTGTGGAGGGGGTGAGATTGATGTGGTGGGGTGAGGGTCAGGAGAGGGGAGAGGAGAAATGTGGGGAGCACCAGTGTGATTCCTGCTGCAGTGAGCGGTGGCCGTGCTGGGAGTGGATGCAAGGTTTGGCAACAGCAAGGTTCCAGCGAAATTATACATCATACTTTACTGCCCTTGGAGGTTAGGGACTTTATGTGGGAGGAAAAAGAGGGGGGGGGGGGGGGGGGGGGGAGGTTGTGGTGGCAGCAAGTTACTGACTTCTCACACCTGGGATATTGCATTTTTATTATCATTCTAGAGGACAAACAATACTGAGTCGAGCTGGGAGATTGTGCAATGGTGGTGTCTGGGATGGGGGTGGTGGTGGGGGGAGGGGATATGAACGAAAAGTAACTCGTAAATTATCACCACCACTGTAGTCACACGTTCGAAGCGTATTGGTGTAAGTATAGTTAGGAAAGGAAGCTATCTCTTTCTCAATACCATGTCAAACGTTTGATGGTTGAGAACAATTGCTGCATACCTTTGACACTAAGCTGAACGCAGCCCCAGCAGGCCAGGAACATTTAAAGCCGTGGCCCAACTATCAGCTTCAACTTCTAATTATTATAGCTTGGAGAACTTGGTTGTCCCAGGCACTTCTGTGGCAATAAGTTTGTCTTTTCCGAGATTTCATTTTTTTCATCCAATAAGGGTCTCTTCACGCACACTCCATGTTTGTCCTGCTCCTGTTCCTAAGAAGTTGCACCCCGCCTTTAAGGTACATATCTACATTGACCTCTAATTCACTCACATGGCATTCGCTATATGAAACCGTGTAGCGAAGTTTGCACACGCGGCCTTTTGGTATTGACGTTTGCACACGCAGCTGTAGGTGGCGATTTTTAAAAATTGGCGGGAAAGCTTCCCTCCTCTGTACGTTCCCCTCAATTCAACGTCATCAATCGCATCGCAACACATCCCGTTTACTAAGGGCGTATCTTCATTTCGGGTCATGGCACTGTTCGGGTCATCCGAGATTCTTGGATAACCAATAAAGCGCATTTTAGCTACACTTCTGCAATATCATTGGTTACCTCATGACTCCAAGTGTACAGAGATGACCCCAATAGTGCCGTGACCCGAAGTGAAGATACGCCATAATTGGCCACTGGCCAAGGCTCGTGGTCTGGGCCATTATTGCTTCAGCAGGTCCCTCGCACCGACATCGTCGTCGACGCGGGACGACATCCAAACCAGACTCTCAAATCGCAGACTGAGCTTGGTGCACGTCGTACCAGTTGTCCAGACATGGCTTCACTGGCTCGGACGAGCCTAGCCTGTCCCGAACCGAACCAGTGATAGCCACGATGTTCCGGACCAGCTGTCACCTCACCTCCGTCCCTAGCAAATGTCGACTCGAATCGCACGGCACGCCACGCCAAAATTTCTTCACAAGGAAATTCGCGCGCTTCCGAGTTTCCCAATTTCACAACCATCTCCGCCCCACGTCGTATGCTGCTCTCCCCCAAAATTCCATGTGTTGGTGGGAGGAAGAACGATCTGCTCATGCTTCATTCCAATTTTCGCCCCCTTGTAGATCACATTACCGTTGCTTGTTTGTTGGCTTGAGCTGGTCACGTTTCGTGATGCTGCACCTCATTCATGGCTAAATCACTTCCACCGCAATTCCACCATCCCACTGCAGCAAGTGCAGCTGGTCCCATTTCGGCCCCACCCAGCCCTCACCACATAACATCTGTGCACCGCACCACCATGCCACCGGCTAATAGCTAATGGCCATGTCACGGTTTAGCCACTTACTTTCCCGCGACTTCTACGATTTGCAACCGGAATCCAGAGAAAAATCCAAAGACGATACATCCATTGGGGACACCGACAGGTTGATAGCGTATCACCGACCCATCTTTATCATATTTGCGCTTTCCCACCAACCGCCGCAGCAGCTACAGTCGAGACGACCGTTGTTTTAAAGATCAGGCACTTCCCATCAAACCCTAGCTCCTCGTCTGCTGATCAATACCAGGACTTGTACGTTTCGAGGTCCCTCCCATCACGCCCAAAGATCCTGCGACCTCGTTGCTCTCCTCTGAGCTTTCCCTGCGACCTTGTTGCTATTCCTCAAAGCTCAGTCCTCTCACACACCTCGCTACCGCAAGTCCCTCACTCCGAGGAGTCCTCCCCATCTATCTGTTCAAACTGCTAGCAGACCCCGCCAGTCGCGCTATAGAAACGGTTCTCACGCTGAGTTCCTCACTCCTCGCCATCCGCTCAAACTGCTAGCAGACCCGGTCAGTCGCGCTATAGAAACGGTTCCCAAGCTGCACGCTAGTCGACGACGCATCGTAGTTCACGGCTTGGACGCTAGCACTGTCTTTTAGAGCGCCTCTCAGTTGAGTATCTTCACGTGCTCCGCGTTTTCCGCTGCTCCAGCGCATGTATATAGTCGGCTCAATTGTACGTAGCAGCCCTGACACAGGAACTCCGAAAACACAGATTTAAATACATGAATCAGGCGCTCTGGACTTAGAGCTCTCCTTCCGTGGCGCCACGAGCTTACGATACAACATAATTTCGGTCCAGTGTAGAGGTGTACTAGTAAGAAGGTGTCGACTTGTAGAAGGTTGATACATTCTTGCTCTTCTGAGGATCTTAGCTCCTTTTCAGAGCAAGGTCAAGGCACGGCGATGAGTCGCACGATCGCCTGCTCTCGCACAGCGACGCGGGCGACCGGCGTGCGACGGAACGTGTCGCCGGACGATCCTGCGACATGGTCGGCGACGAGATTGTTGAGGTGTCTGGCCGCCGCCTGCCTGGTGGCATTCGTCGCAGGAGGACTCCCGAGGTCGCAGGCCGGAGGTACGGGATTCGAGGCTGAGGGATTGGGGACTGAGACCGAAACGGGTAAAAGTTCTTACTATCATTTACTACTGGCGGCTGTGTAAAGAATATTGATACTATGCGCCAGTTGAATCACGCAACAGACGTAGCATACTCACTGCCGCCTTTTCCGCGCCAACCCTTCCAGCTGTGCGTTCCAAAGCCGCGGCGCCTGTGCGCAATGGCACATAGTGCACCTGACGACCGTTCCGCTCACTCCGCTTCACCCCCGCTCCCCCTCCCTCACTCCCACCTTCCCCACCTCCCTCATCACAGCTACGCGCGCGAAAGCCGCGGCGCCCCTGCGCAAGCAGTACATAGTGCACCTGGCGGCGGTGCCGCCGGTGCTCAACTACCGCGGCGGCGTGGCGGGGCTGGCGGCGACCGCGCCGGAGCTAGACGACAACGACCCCGAGAGCAGCCCCACCGACGCGGACGACGACGATAGCGCACCGGTTGATACTTCAGGTGGCAGTTCAGGTGGCGGTTCGGGTGGCGGTTCGGGTGGCGGCTTGGGTGGCGGTTCAACTGGCGGTTCAGGTGACTCAGGTGGAAATTCAGGTGAAATTCCTGGTGGAGGTGCAGGAACCGGAGCAGGAGGAGGAGGGGGAACGGATCCATCGGAGGTTCCATTTCCAAGTGATGCTACAGCTGGCGGCGCTACAGCCGGTGACGCTACAGCCGGCGGCGCTACAACCGACGACTCTACAACCGGCGACAGCAGTACAACAAATGTCACGCTTGCCGCAGCAGAGATGCTCCAAGGGATCAGCGCGGCTCGACTGGCCACCGTTAGAAGCACATCCGCTGTACCCCCTCGCTTCGGCACAATCACGAAATCGACTTTTGAGGCTCCTCGGAAAGCGATACGGCGGCTTGCGGATCGAATCAAGCGACGCGCGGACGTGCGACGGGCGAACGTGAAATCTTTCGTCAACTTTCTGCGGGATGCGCAACGGCAGTTTTTGCGAAAGAATAACATATCGCCGGCGCAGCTGTTCCAGAGCTACACGTACACGGTCAACGGGTTCGCTGTATCACTGACGGACGCGGAGGCGAAACGGCTGAAGCAGCACCCTGCCGTGGCATGGATCGAAGAAGACAAACCGGTGAGTGAAAGTAGAGATACAAGTCAGTGAAGTGATTAGCTAGGAGGAGATGAGGAAAGAAAGGGGAAAGCGGGGAAGTAGGGGTGAGAGCGGGGGAGAGGGGGAAAGTCAAGAAGGGAGAGAGCGGGGGAGGGGGAAGCGAAAGATAGCTGGCCGGTACTGTGGGGGAAGAGAGCAAGGGTGGAGGAGTCAAAGAAGGGGGAGAGGAAGAGTGGAGAGGGGGACTGGGATGAGGATCGGAAAATGGATAGCAAATGAATATTACAGAAGCTCACTGCGCTTATAACGGTCAAATATTCTCGCGTTTGCTGCCAGTATATTTTATTTCCTCGCTATTATCGTGCCTCAATATATTGCGCGCTCACTGTAGTTTCCCAGTACTGACTCTCTTGTTTTCTTTTTCTGGGGCAGGTTCGCGCGCTCACTGTGGACTCGCCGACTTTCTTGAAGTTGCCGACGAGCCTTTGGGCTGAAAATGGGGGGCAGAGCCGCGCGGGCGAGGATGTGATTATAGGCGTGGTGGATTCGGGAATATGGCCGGAACACCCTTCTTTTGCAAACAAGGTAAAGCACTGTAGTCCTCGATTTAAATCCTATTGCTGAAGACATTTTTTGTGCAAGTTTGCAACATGAAGTAATCTCCTATCTGTCCTTCTCCTCTCTCCTCTACACATCCTTCCCATCCTCCACCCTCCCTCCGCACCCACCCCTTTTCCCTCCATTAATCCCCTCCCCTTCAACCATTTTCCCCCCTTCTCCCCTTTCCCCCGTTCCTTTTCTCCCATTCTCTCCTCTCCTCTTCCCCATTCCTTTTCCCCCTCCTCCCCCCCCCCCCCCCCCCCCCCCCCCCAGCCATCTGACCCTTCGGCCCAGTCCCGGACCGAAGGTTTGGCGGGTGTGCAGCAACGGCAGGCTTCCCAGCCGCTCTGCTTCGGCAAGCTTATTGGCGCAAATTTCTTCAACCCCCATCATCCTCTCCCTCCCCTTCCCTCCCCTTCTCCCTTGCCCTTCCCCCTCCCCTTCCATTCCCCCTCCCCTTCCCCCTTCCTCCCTTTCCCCCTTCCCCTCTCCCCTTTTTTCACGTTCCACCTCCAGCCATCAGACCCCTATGGTCCGGTTCCGGACCGCTGGTTCGGCGGGTGTGCAGCAACGGCGGACTTCCCAGCCTCGCTGTGCAACGGCAAGCTCATCGGTGCAAAATATTTCAACAGCGGGTTCCGCAAATCCGGGCAGAGTGTGGATCCGATCAACGACTTTCCGTCTGCCCGAGATGGCGATGGGCACGGCACGTGGTGTGCAGGGTGAGTGTCTTCAAGTGACGCAGTAACACAGTAATGTTTTGAGCCGTTTCGAATCATGTTGTGGAGTGAAGGATAAAAGCAGCCGTCGATGAGTGTAAATTGCGTTCTTTAAGGCAAGGTAAAAAAAAAAAAGATCTTATTTTAGCTGCCTGTCTGTTGCCTCATGATAAGTGTGTTGTTTGAGACGTCTCAAAACAACACTTTTATCACGTGGAAAAAATACTTCTTTTAGGTAACTGTCTGTTGCCTCATCTGAACTCAATGCTGCTATCACCCTAATACATTCTCTTCTCCCCTTGCTTTCCGAACCAGAGCGGCAGGGGGCAACGCGAACGTGAGTGTGGAGATGAACGGCCGCAATTAATCTCACTCCTCTCAACCCCCTCTCATCTCTCTTCACCCCTCCCAAACCAATAGAGCGGCAGGGGGCAACGCGAACGTGAGTGTGGAGATGAGCGGCCGTAACTACGGCACAGCGAGCGGCGTGGCACCGCGGGCCCGCCTTGCCATGTACAAGGCGCTGTGGGTGGTCAAGGGCGGCGGCGCGTCAGGCACCAACGCGGACATCCGAGCCGCCGTTGATGCCGCTGTGGCAGATGGCGTGGACGTGCTCTCGCTGTCTCTGGGGGGGTCTGTCCCCCAGTACTTCTCTGACATTCCCTACATGAATGCTGCCAAGGTGAGGCACTGGGGACAATCCCAAGGGCCCAAGGAGGGGGGGGGGGGGGGGAGTGTTGACACCGCTGTGGCGGATGGCGTGGACGTGCTCTCGCTCCCCCTGGGGGGGTCTGTTCCCCCGTACTTCTCTGACATTCCCTACGTGAATGCTGCCAAGGTGAGGCACTGGGGACAATCCCTACATGAGCGACACGGCCTTGAGCCTCTTGGGTCTTTAGGTTTCTCGGGTCTTTAGGTTTCTCGGGTCTTTAGGTTTCTCGGGTCTCTCTGGTCTCTTTGGGAGGGTCGGTTCCCCATCCTGCCCCCATCTCCTTCCCACCCCACCCCACCCCACCCCACCCCACCCCACCCCACCCCAATCCCACCCCACCCCAATCCCACCCCAATCCCACCCCACCCCACCCCAATCCCACCCCAATCCCACCCCAATCCCACCCCAATCCCACCCCACCCCAATCCCACCCCAATCCCACCCCACCCCACCCCACCCCAATCCCACCCCACCCCACCCCACCCCACCCCAATCCCACCCCACCCCACCCCACCCCAATCCCACCCCACCCCACCCCACCCCAATCCCACCCCACCCCACCCCACCCCAATCCCACCCCAATCCCACCCCAATCCCACCCCAATCCCACCCCAATCCCACCCCACCCCACCCCACCCCGATCCCACCCCACCCCACCCCACCCAACCCCACTCCACTCCTCTCAATTCCCAATATGCTGGCAGGCGGGGGTGTTTGTGACGCTGGCAGCAGGCAACTCAGGCCCACCCTCCCCCATGTGCAATCCCCTTCTTACCCCTTCCCACCCCACCCCACCCCACTCCACCCCTGGCAATGCTGGCAGGCGGGGGTGTTTGTGACGCTGGCAGCAGGCAACTCGGGGCCGCCCTCTCCCATGCGCGTGCTGGGCACACTCAGCAACGCGGCTCCATGGTACCTGACCGTCGGTGCAACGTAAGTCTCTTTTTCCACTAACGTACGCTGATAACAGAATAGGTGTGCTGGGTGTGCTGGGAGTGGTGAACGTAACACCATGCGCGTGCTGGGGACGCTCAGCAACGCGGCTCCGTGTGGTACCTGACCGTCGGTGCAACGTAAGTTGACTTATGTGTGCGCAGAAGGTAATTAATATGTGTGCTGGGTGTGCTGAACTGAACGTAACACGCTCAGTACCCCCTTGACTTCTGAGGGCGCTCAGTTGACTTCTGAGGGCGCTCAGTTGACTTCTGAGGGCGCTCAGTTGACTTCTGAGGGCGCTCAGTAACGCGGCTCCGTGTGGTACCTGACCGTCAGTGCAACGTAAGTTGAGAGGAACACTCGTTGAAAAGATGCGCTTATGTGTGCTGAAAGAAACAGCTGGTGGGATGGGAAAGGCGTGCAGGGGGACACACTTTGAGGGAAGGAAGGAAATGTTTTGATGAAAGTCCTAGCCACACACTACATGCTGGGCAGGCTAAGTCCCTTCCCTCGTCCGTCCCTGTGAAAGAAGAGTGTCTCAGCCACTCACTGTGAGACGTCTCAAAAACGCTATCTTCGATGAAAGTCCTAGCCACACACTGCATGCTGGGTGTGATGAGACGAATTTTGAGTCGACGCAAATGTTTTGATGAAGGTCCTAGCCACACACTGCATGCTGGGTGTGATGAGACGAATTTTGAGTCGACGCAAATGTTTTGATGAAAGTCCTAGCCACACACTGCATGCTGGGTGTGATGAGACGAGTTTGGAGTCGACGCAAATGTTTTGATGAAAGTCCTAGCCACACGCTAAGTCCCTTCCCTCGTCCGTCCCTGTGAAACGCAATCTTTGATGAAAGTCCCAGCCACACACTGCATGCTGGGCACGCTGAGTCCCTTCCCTCGTCCGTCCCTGTGAAACGCAATCTTTGATGAAAGTCCCAGCCACACACTGCATGCTGGGCACGCTGAGTCCCTTCCCTCGTCCGTCCCTGTGAAACGCAATCTTTGATGAAAGTCCCAGCCACACACTGCATGCTGGGCACGCTGAGTCCCTTCCCTCGTCCGTCCCTGTGAAACGCAATCTTTGATGAAAGTCCCAGCCACACACTGCATGCTGGGCACGCTGAGTCCCTTCCCTCGTCCGTCCCTGTGAAACGCAATCTTTGATGAAAGTCCCAGCCACACACTGCATGCTGGGCACGCTGAGTCCCTTCCCTCGTCCTCCCTCCGCTCGTTCCTCTCTCCCCTCCCGCAGCACGATTGGCCGGCAGTACTATGCAACGCTGAGCCTTGGGAACGGAGTGGAGCTGAGGGGAGTGAGCTTCGGAGGCAACGCACAGACAGCCAGGCAGCAAGTCTCACCCCAGTTACTCCCTCTCTGCACCACTCCCTCCCTACGTCCCTCCCTCCCCGCGTCCCTCTCTCTCCCCTCCCGCAGCACGATTGGCCGGCGGTACTTTGCAACGCTGAGCCTTGGGAACGGAGTGGAGCTGAGGGGAGTGAGCTTCGGAGGCAACGCACAGACGGTCAATAAAGTGCTCCTGCCCGCTTCCGCTGCTGTCAAGCCTGGCGCCTCTGCCTCCGATGTGAGTCACACGCCTCTTGGCACAATACATGTGCTTATCACATGTGCGTATCACATGTGCTTATCACATGTGCTTATCACATGTGCATACCACATGAGTCGACTCAAAGGTGCTGCTGCCGGCTTCTGCTGCGGTCAGGGCTGGCGCCTCTGCCTCTGATGTGAGTCCTGCGCACTTCTCACCAACTGGGCTGTCCTTGTCACATGTGCATTTATCACAAGGTGACTTTTGGGTCGACTCAAAGGCCACTAAAGTGCTGCTGCTGGCTTCTTCTGCTGTCAGGGCTGGCGCCTCTGCCTCTGATGTGAGTCCTGCGCACTTCTTACCAACTGTGCTCATTACATGCCCTTACCATGTCTCCTTGTCACATGCCCTTACCGTGTTGCCTGTTTCCTTTCCCCCTCTGACGTTCTACCTGGCTGCTCTATGTGACATCACTGTTATCGACAAATCAAAGTTGGCGGGGCGAATCATTGTATGCACATTCCAACCATCAGCTCTCCTTTGCCCTCCATCTGTTTCCTTTCCCCCCCTGATGACCCCCCAGGCTGCTCTATGTGACATCACAGCCATCGACAAATCCAAGCTGGCGGGGCGAGTCATCGTGTCCTGTCCACATACCAACCATCCTCTCTCCTTAGGCTTCCTCCTGTTTCCTTAACCTCTCCCTCGTTCTGCAACCATTGTCCCCCTCCCACCCACAACCCTACCCGCTCATGACCCCAGGCTGCTCTATGTGACATCACAGCCATCGACAAATCCAAGCTGGCAGGGCGAATCATCGTATGCACATTCCAACCATCGGCCTCCAAGTCTGCAGGCATTCCCATCAGCACCCTAGCTGCTTACAAGGCAGCAGCTCTTGTCGTCCTTAGTGGCTCACCCAATACAGACAGCATGCCCATGCTTCCTTTCACTGACCTGCCACTCCTCTACCTGACCAACGCTCAGGGCGGGCAGGTGAAAAACTACCTGCAGCAGACGGCCAATCCCGTGGCGACACTTGGTGAATACGCCACCACGAATTCATCCAACGCTCCCCAAATGGCCGTTTTCTCTTCCACTGGTCCAACCATAAACCCATCCCTCTTCCCGATCCCGTCTTTCCTCCCAACCAACGACATCTTAAAGCCGGACATCGTTGGTCCGGGATTCCAGCTCTGGTCGTCTTACCGAGGCAAGAGCGCAGCTTCGGCAACCACCGACCCTCCCATGTTCAACTGCATTTCTGGTACATCCATGGCTACACCACATCTTGCCGGCATCGCGGCATTACTAATCCAGAAGAATCCAGGCTGGACGCCCGCCCAGGTCATGTCAGCAATGATGACTACAGCATCTACAGTGAATAATGCCGGCCAGCCAATCAAACGGGCGAATGGGGACGTCGCCACCCCGTGGGATTACGGCTCGGGGCAGGTCGACCCGTCGAGGATTTTAAACCCTGGGTTGACTTTAACCTCTGGGTTTAACGATTATGTGAATTTCCTCGCGAGCAGGAATTTCCAGCAGACGAAGCATGCGTTTCCGGGGCTGAAGGGGATTCGGGCGCGCAAGCCATGGAATCTCAACCGTCCAACGATCTCGATCTCACGGCTGTCGGTCCGCGGGAGGAAGATTGTGCGCACGGTTCGGAACGTGTTTGACCAGCCGTCGACGTACACTGTGAAGGTTCGGGTGCCGTCGGACGTGCAGGTTCGGGTGACCCCGAGCCAGTTTACGATCGGTCCGGGAGAGGTGCAGCGAATCACGGTGGTGTTCAAGGCAAAGAAGATTGCGCGTAAGTTTCTGTTTGGGTCGGTTAGGCTGGTGGATGAGCACGGGCATGCAGTGAAGATGCCAATTGCACTGCGTACAGTGTTACTCTGAATGCTGGGTGCGGTGCTGCTGGTGCTTGAGGTGTATGGTGCAGTGCAGTGGAGACAGTGCAGCAGAAGGGAAGGAGTGGTAGGCTGGCAGCCTTGTTGGGTGGTGGAAGGAGCATGTGGTAGACATTCCAATGTAAGGTGGAAGTATGAAGCTGGGGAAGTGGAGGTGGTAAGGAAATGCTGGTCCAAAGTGCGTTGAATAAGGTGATGGGATCTAGATGGTGGAGGACCTGGAATCCAGGGTACTTTTGCCATCTCCATGTGCAATTAGCACCCCTTTATACGTAACTTTTGAAGCTTCTTGTACTGCCTATTTGTAAGGTACATGTTTATATTGAATCACAATGGAATTAGAGGGTGAAAAGGAATTGAATGGAATTTATGAAAGTACTTTCTGATTGTGTTTGTTTAATTTCTTTTGTGAAGTTTTGATGAACGATGACAGATATTCTGGGTCAGGGCTGGATATTCATGGCTCGTGCGAACCCTGGCGATGAATACATCTCGCTTGTCAGATTGACCCAACTCAAAACTCCACGAGACTCTTCTCCTGATAGTCATGTTACCACGTCATTTCGCTTTCGTCGGTCGGCAGCAATCAGTGTTCGCCCAAGCGTCGGTGGATTTTCGTGCGGTTCGCGTCCCACGTCCCTCCTTCCCCAAGCCTACCTTGGTGCGAGCGGCACCGCCACTGTAAATGTCTTCGGGTTCTAGGGCGCCCAGAAATTCGCCCCAAATCCACCTCCCCTCCCCACTGCATTTTTCAAATAAAAGCAGCATCGCACAACTTCACAAGAAACACAGAGCAGGAACAGAAAAGCTAAACCAAGTAGCACCGACAGTGCGACACACACCCAAAACTGAAATCCATTCTCGTCTTGAGAGAGAATCCAGCTCGGCAGAACAGGTAGTATCGTCGCACGGTCACTCACTCATCCGTATCGTCTCTAACATTGCAACATAGTTACGGCGATAAGTGGAATCCCGATTATGTTCACCTTGAAATCCCGCCATTGACAGTCTCGCGTATTCAGCAGGCAAAAACCCATTGGATTCAGACATGCAGCTCCTGTTGCCACATCGCGACTCCCAGATGCTGCCTCGCGACTGTTCTTCGCGATGAACTGAACAAATCGTCGGTAGATCCAAGCTGATACTGACCGCGATGTCTTGTCGCCACGTCGCGAGTCCCAGATGGCTGCCGCATCGCGACTGCTCTTCGCGATCAATAGAACGAATTGCCTGTAAATCCAACCGGATATCGAGCGCGATGTCCCGCCGCCACGTCGTGGTGCCCAGGCGGCTGCTTCGCGTCCCTCAGCTGCTCGTAATCTGCCTCGTAATACTCCAACGAACACCTTGGAATTTCGCTGCGGACCGATCCCAAGGTATAGGGGTAATTGAACAGCACAAAGAGCCTTTTCGCCTAGTTTCCGGATATTATCTTTGTAATTCTTCCTTTGCCCCTGTGGCTCCCAAATCAGCCTTTCGGTTTGGCTCGATTCACCATCCCGGGTTGGTACGATCATCCTGCCGGGTGTTTCTCTTGTATACTTTCCCTCCGATTTCACCCATCTCACTGCATCACCATCCGCCCTTTTCTTAAAATTTGACGCGCTTCAAAACCATTCACCCATCTCACAGGATCATCATCCGCCCCTTCCGCCCACTCCCACACAGGGGCAGGATCAGGTGGAGTAAGAGCAGCAGCAGCAGTAGCAGCAGGAAGAGGGGGAGGAGGAGACGCAGCAGCAGCAGCAGGGGGCGGCATTCGACGAGGGTACCTGGTGTATCTGCGAAATGCTCCTCCCGTTCTCAACTACCACCGCGGAATCCCGGGGATTCCCGCGACCGCTCCGCCAGACGATGATAGCAGCGTAGACGAAATCGACGACACAGTTAGCGACGTTAGCGATGGTAACCGAGAACCTGCAACAGATTCTTCTGTCGCTGGTGAAACTGACTCTGCGACGAGAGAGGAGAGTGCAACGGCGGGAAGAGATTTGCGCGGAGGGTTGGATGAATCTCTAGCGCAGCCACGGTGGTTGAGAGGGGCGAGAGGAGGTTCTGTGATAAATCGTCTCGTGGGTCGCTTTCGACCGAGGCGGCCAGATGTTCGCGCGCCTAACGTGCGAGCTTTCGTCCGGTTCTTGCGAAATTCGCAGCGAAGGCTGTTAGCGGATAGTCGGATTCCCGCTTCTGCGTTGTTGCACAGTTACACTTATACGCTTAACGGGCTTGCTGTATCGCTGACAGAAGCGGAGGCACGTCGGCTCAAGCGGCATCCCGCGGTTGCTTCTGTGGAGAGGGACCGAGTGGTAAGTACGCCAGGTTGTCTTCACCAATGAGAAGAAAGAAGTATTGCTTCTGGAAAGGACTAATTTATTGTTTGCATGTATCATTATTCTCATTTACTCTTTTTTTTTTTTTTTTTCCGTTCGGCAGGTTCGTATCCTCACTGTGGATTCGCCAACTTTTCTGAAGCTGCCCGACAGCTTGTGGGAAGCAAATGGCGGGCAGAGTCGGGCAGGCGAGGATGTGATTATAGGCGTGGTGGACTCGGGGATATGGCCGGAACACCCTTCATTTGCAGATGATGTTAGTGCAACATGACCGTAGATTGCTTTGGGCACGTTTGCAATATCGTTTATGGCTTGTAACCCTCATCTGATGCTCACTCCTCTGCTCCTGTTTCCCTTCCTCTCCATCCGCAACCAACCAAGCTTCCATTCACCTATTCCCCCACCCACCCACTGCCCCCCTCACCCACTCCCCCAACCCCCATTCCCCACTCTCCCACTCACTCACTCACTCACTCATCTCCTCTACCAACTTCCCCCTTTCCAACCCGTGTTTCCTCCTCCCTCCTCAACCTATGCCCCTCCCGCTTCCTCTCCCGCACCTGCCATCCCCCCCACAGCCATCAGACCCGTGCGACCCACCCCCAAGCAACTGGCTGGGAGGGTGCACAGCGACAGAGGATTTACCCGAAGCAGCATGTAGCGGCAAGCTAGTGTGGGAGCGCCTTTTTGTGGCATGGCTGCAGGTCAATCAAGGCAGCATTGGCAGCACGGATTCCTTTGAGCTGTCTCTCCCCCTCCCCCCCCCCCCCCCCCCCCCCCCCCCCCCCCCCCCCCCCCCCCCCCCCCCCCCCCCCCCCCCCCCCCCTCTCCTTTTTTTACAACCTTTCCCTCTCAACCCCTGTTTCCCCCCTCTCCCTCCCTCCGTCCTCCCATCTCCCCCGACCATCAGACCCGTACGGCCCACCCCCTTCTGGTTGGCGGGGAGGGTGCACAGTAACAGAGGACTTCCCCGAAGCAGTGTGCAACGGAAAGCTGGTGGGGGCGCGCTTGACCTGACTCCATCCTTTCCCCCTTCCCCCTCCCTCCGTCCTCCCATCTCCCCCTGCCATCAGACCCGTACGGCCCACCGCCGACTAACTGGCGGGGAGGCTGCACAGTAGCAGATGATTTCCCCGAAGCAGCGTGCACTGGGAAGCTGGTGGGGGCGCGCTACTCTGTGGCTGGGCTGCTGATCCACTCAACTGAACCCTGCCCCTCGTCCAACCCCCTCCCCTGTTTCGCCCCCTGTTGCCACCCTCCTCCCCTCCCATCCAGCCATCGGACCCGTACGGTCCGGCCCCTTCTGGTTGGCGGGGCGGGTGTACAGTAACGGACGATTTTCCCGAGGCAGCGTGTAATGGGAAGCTGGTGGGGGCGCGCTACTTTGTGGCGGGGCTGCTGGCCAATCAGGGCAGCGTGTCCGAGTCCCTGGATTTCATGTCTCCCCGGGATGGGAATGGGCATGGCTCGTGGTGTGCGGGGTGAGTGGATAGGTGGGGGTATGGTATGCTGCAGTTCGGTTCGGTCTGGTATGGTACGGTATTGTATGCTGCGAATCAGGGCAGCGTGTCCGAGTCCCTGTATTTCATGTCTCCACGGGATGGGAATGGGCATGGCTCGTGGTGTGCAGGGTGAGTGATAGTTTGGCACTGCGGTATGGTCTAGTACGGTACGGTACGGTGTGGTATCATGTGCTGGCCAACCAGGGCAGCAGTGCAGGATCGATAGATTTCATGTCGCCCCGGAATGGCAGTGGGCGGGGGGCATGGCTCGTGGTGTGCAGGGTGAATCTCAATCCAGGCAGCAGGAAGTAAACAGCCCTCACATCCCCCTAGTTTTGAGGCGCCTCAAAACTAGCAGGAAGTAAACAACCCTCACATCCCCCTAGTTTTGAGGCGCCTCAAAACTAGCAGGAAGTAAACAACCCTCACATCCGCCTCCACGTATATACTCTTCCTCTTTCTACTCTTCCCCTCAAACGTCATCAGAGCAGCAGCAGGTAAAGCCAACGGCTGAAGCTACGGATCAGCGAGTGGTGTGGCGCCGCAGGCGCGCATCGCCATTTACAAGTTGCTCTGGTCCTTACCCATAAAACTCTCGTGTGTATCCTCTCCCCCCCCTCCCCCTCCCTACGCAGAGCGGCAGCAGGCAATGCGAATGTGAGTGTGGAGCTGCATGGCCGCAGCTACGGAGCAGCGAGCGGAGTGGCACCGCGCGCGCGCATTGCCATGTACAAGGCGCTCTGGCGCATGCAGGATGGTGGGGCGGCCGGCATGGACTCGGATATCTGGGCGGCGGTGGATACTGCCGTGGCGGACGGCGTGGATGTGCTGTCACTGTCGCTGGGAGGGAGCATTCCGAATTACTTCTCCGATATTGCCTACCTGAACGCAGTCAAGGTGAGATGGTGTGGTGTTACAGGGGAAAGGGGAAGAAGGAGGGGGTAGGGGGAGGGCGGGCAGTGGACACTGCTGTGGCAGACGGAGTGGATGTGCTACAGTTGTCGCGGGGAGGAAGCGTGCCAAACTATTTGTCCGGTATTGCTTATCTGAATGCTGCCAAGGTAACTTCTGGGTCCTGTGTTGCCAAGAAAAGACTAGAGTGATGATTACTGGGTGTCTCTCCGGTGTCCTGCATCTTCTGCCTCTCCATCCCTGTAGCTCTGGTAGCTCGCTATTCACCCTACTGCACTCCCCCAGTTGGCGTAAGGCTGATAACTACACAAAACGAAACAAGACGAGCTCTACAAAATCGTATGACACACGCTCTCCAATGCTCTGCCCAATCACTCCCTTCCGCACTTCAGGCTGGGGTGGGGTGTTTGTGGCGATGGCAGCGGGAAACTCAGGCGCACTTCTGAGTCGACTCAGAGGGAAACTCAGGCTCACCGTTTTGAAGCGCCTCAAAAATCGCCACACACCCCTCTGATTCTGCTCTGCCCTGCCCCCCTTCATTCGCTTCCTTACCTCAGGCCGGGGTGTTTGTGGCGCTAGCAGCAGGAAACTCCGGCGAACCTTTTTGAAGCGCCTCAGAAATCGCCACACACCCCTCTGATGCTGCTCTGCCCTGCCCCCCTTCATTCCCTTGTGCACCTCAGGCCGGGGTATTTGGGGCGAGGGCAGCAGGAAACTCCGGTGCACCTTCCTCCTCCTAGTGTTGAGTCGACTCAACACCCCCCTGTCACACACCCCTCCAATGCTCTGTTCCTTCTTTCCCTTCGGTATCTCAGGCCGGGGTGTTTGTGGCGATGGCAGCAGGAAATTCCGGTGCACCTTCCTCCTCCAAGGCGGTGGGCACCATAAGCAACGCGTCGCCGTGGTATCTCACCGTTGGCGCCAGGTGAGGCACCTTCCCCCAACACCCACGGCTCACCTTGACCGGCACATTGCAAAGTGAAGGTGGCCCCCACTTCGCCCACCCCCTCATTTCAATGCGTCTCCCACCTCCTCCAATCCAAGGCTGTGGGCACCATAAGCAACGCGTCGCCGTGGTATCTCACCGTTGGCGCCAGGTGAACCGGCTTTCCTCAACCCCCCTGCGCCATTAATGATTACTCTACATATACCCTTGCGAGTCTTGATACCATAGGTTTGATCATTGTTGCTGCTGTTTACTACTCTTTCTGTTATGCATTATTGCCTTTTTGTTTTTGTTTTTTTGTTATGGTTATTAGAAACCACGAACAACCTGGCAAGTTTCCACCACCCCTCGTTTTCCCCCCTTGTGGCAGCACCATGGGTCGAGACTTCATGGCAAACCTCACTCTCACCGCTCTTCCCGCCACCACCACCACCACCACCGCTACAGCCAATCCTGCCACAACTTCTGCCACTGCTACAACCGCTGCCGCCTCTTCTGCCGCGCCTGCCCCTGCCTCTGCTCCTGCCCCTGCTGCTGCCCCTGCTCCTGCTTCTGCTCCTGCCGCTGGTGCTGCCCCTGCCTCCACCTCTACTGCTTCTGCTGCTGCTACCTCTGCTGCTGACTCTGCCAGCTCATTGGCCGAGATTTCTTGGGCAGAGAGTTTTCTGACTGAGAATTCTTCAAGCGAAAACCCTTCAGCTGCAGCACCGGCAGCATCGGAGGAGGCCGGGAGGGAAGTACTGGTTTTATCAGGGTGGAGCTTTGGAGGCACTCCCCTCACAGTAGACCTGCCGGTTCTAGATGCCAGGGATGCTGCTGCCAATGGTGCCAGTCAATCGCTGGTGAGTGCTGGGTATGGACTTGGGTGTGGAGTCTGAGTGGCATCTCTCACCCTCAACACGCTCCTTCTATGCCCGCTCTCCTCTCGCCCTCTCACCGACGTGCTCCTGGTTGCCTCGAAACTTTGCCCAGCCGCTCTGGTGCTGCTTCTGGGAGCTAATGTAATGACACACCCCTGTACTCACTCACACCTCCCCCCCCCCTCTTCCCTTCCATAACAGGCCAGCCAGTGCCATGCTCCCAGCATCAACGCCTCCCGCACTCTCAACACCCTCCTCCTCTGCTCTCACTCCACTCGCCCTCTCACTGACGTGCTCCTGGACGCGTCCACCCTTCGACCAGCTGCCCTCGTGCTGCTCGGGGCTACCGACTCAACCCCCCGCCTGCCCTACACGCGCATGCCTGTGATTTACCTCAAGGCTTCTGACGCCACTGCTCTCAGGACCTTCCTCGCCACTACCACCAGGTATGTTGTCCCCTCTCTTCCCCTCCTCCTGCCCTACCTACACGCGCCTGCCCTACACGCGCATGCCTGTGATTTACCTCAAGGCTTCTGACGCTTCTGCTCTCAGGACCTTCCTGGGAAGCATCACCAGGTACGGCACATTCCTGTCGGTTATCTCTCCTCTGCCCTCCCTCTCCTCTCTCCTCCTCTGCACTCTCTCCTCCTGACGTGCTACTGGACGCCTCCACCCTTCGCCCAGCAGCTCTGGTGCATGCCGCTCGTCTATCTCAATTCCTCTGATGCCTCTGCTCTCAGGACCTTCCTATCCAGCTCCACCAGGTATGTTGTCCCCTCTCCTACCTTCCTCCGCCTGCCCTTTTTGCGGTGCCTCAAAACTCCCCTTTCTTCTCCTCTGCCTGCCCTACACGCACCAGCCCTACACCTTGTCCTCCTCCCCAGCCCCTGCTCTCTCCTCTTTCTCCTCCACCAACCCCCCAGTCAACCCCACCACATCCGCCAACCTCCCTCCCACTATTTGTTTCCATTCACCCCTTCGTTTTTCTTTCTTTTTTTTTCCTTCCCCGCCACAACCCCAGCCACCAGGCATCACTATCCCAGCCCTACACCTCCTCCACCTCCCCAGCTCCAGCCATTGCCTCTTTCTCCTCCACAGGTCCCCCAGTCAACCCCACCACCCCCTCCTCCTCCCTCCCTCCCTACCTCCCAACCAACGACATCCTCAAACCTGACATCGTAGGCCCGGGTTACCAGCTCTGGGCGGCCTACCGAGGCTCCAGCGCAGGCTCGGGAGGAGCAGCCTCGGGCCCGCCCTCGTTTGGGCTGCTCTCGGGAACATCCATGTCTACACCTCAGCTCGCGGGAATCGCGGCGCTTATAATCCAAAAGAAACCGGATTGGACACCGGCGCAAATAATGTCAGCAATAATGACTACAGCGAGTGGAGAAAACAACCAAGGGGGGCGGATTAAGAAGCCGAATGGGAACGATGCGACCTGGTGGGATATGGGAGCTGGGCGTGTAGATGCTGCTAGGGTGTTGGATCCTGGGTTGACGTTCAATGCGGGGTATGGTGATTATGTGAGCTTTCTGGCTGGTAGGAGCATGGCAGAAACGGCACGTGTGCTGAATGTTGGGAAGAAGAAGGGTGGGAAAAAAAGGGGTCACAGCCGTAGCAGCCGAAGTGGTGGCACCAGCACCAGTGGTGCCAACATTGCCAGCAGCAGCGACAACGACAACAGCAATAGCAGCAGCAGCAGCAGCAGCAACAGCAGCTTCATCAGTGGTAGTGGCGGCGGCAGCAGCAGCAACAGCGGCAACAGCAGCGACAGCAGCAACAGCAACAGCAGTGGTAGTAGAAAGGTCAAACAGGCTTCAGCAGCAAAGAAGCAAAGGTGGTGGCAGTGGCAGTGGTGGAGATGGGCACAAAACGGTTCCCCCAAAAAGACATCCACCACCATCCGTACCATCCCAGCGACGCATCTCAACCGTCCATCCATCTCTGTTTCTCGGCTCCAGGGAACAACCGACATCCCGAGAACAGTCACCAACGCGCACAATGCCACGTCAGCATACCAAGCCACGGTTACATCTCCTGTTGGTGTGGACGTTCAGGTTATCCCGGACCAGTTTACAATCGGTCCGGGGCAGTCAAAGCGGTTTGTGGTACGGCTGCAACCAAATGGGGAGGCAGCGGAGGCTTGGGAGAGGTTTGGGTTTGGTTCGGTGAGGTGGGAGGATGAGCATGGGCATGTGGTGAACATGCCTTTAGTCACACGGGTGAGTGCTTGAAGCTGCTGAGGTGGAGAGAAAGAGTAGGCGGAGCAGGAGAAAGAGGGGATGCTTCAGAGTGATGCTGCGTGCAGTATCGTATCGTTCTCACTGGGCTGGTTTTTGACTCCCATTACCAAGTGTGGTATTCACTCTGTGTGATGTAAATGGAGTTTTTTGCCCAGCCCAACATGCTTTGCATGAAAATTTATACTACAGTGGCAGCATTTTACAAAGCAATGTTTATGAGGTAACGTAGAAAGGTACAATAAAAAAATTGCTGCAAATTAAACTCATTTTCTAGGCAACAAGACAAGCTATGTACACACGACCAGTGTATCAAATCTCATGCACATGCAGTGAGTTTATTGGCAAAACCCCATATGCACATCAACAAACACTGGCTCTCAGTGGTCGCTGGGCCAGCGGCAAGTGGGCATGGCACCATTGTGGAGGAAGTGGGGTATTGGCAGCACATGTATGCTTGAAGCGCGTGCAGCTTTGACGCGCGTTACTGCTCTTTCGGCTGACATCGGAGGGTGAACTCTGCGAGCAGGGAGAAGTGGTCGCTGGGCCAGCGGCGAGTGGGCGTGGCGCCGTTGTGGGGGAAGTGGGGCACTGGCAGGAAGCACATCTAGGCTTGAAGCACATCTAGGCTTGAAGCACATCTAGGCTTGAAGCATGTCACTGTTGCTGAGGCCGGCATTGGAGGGTGAACTCTGCAATTAAGGAGAAGTGGTCGCTGGGCCAGCGGCGAGTGGGCATGGCGCCGTTGTGAGCAAAGTGGGACACTGGGAGCACGTCTAGCACTCTCTGCACCTCCAACTCATGGGTGTGCCTGGTGAGAGCGGGAGCAGGTGTGAAGAGGGGTTATGAGGGGTGACGAGGGGTGGAGGGGTGAAGAGGGGCGAAGAGGGGCGAAGAGGGGTGAAGAGGGCCGAGTAGGGGTGAAGAGGGGTGCAAGGAATTGTGGTTGATTGGTCTTAAGGTGGGGTGTGGGTGGAACGCAAGGAGCACATCCAACACTCCCTTCACCTCAAGGAAAAGTGGGGGATGTTTAGGATGGGAGGGATTGCGAGGAGTGAAAGGGATGGGTATTCCTTGTCAGGGTGACGGTGAGGGTGAGGGTGAGGGTGAGGGTGAGAGGAAGAGGGTGAGGAGGGTGAGGGTGGGGGTGAGATTGGAGGAGAGACTTAGCGAAGGAGGTGGGGGAACGAGCTCACCAGATGTAGTCCACAGTTCCGCAGAAGTTTGCATGGAATGACGTCAGCAGAGGTTCTCCCTTGGGGCATGCATGACGATTCTCGGTCTGCCAGAATGCAACGATGAGGGAAGCAAGCAGAAAGGTGACGTCAGCAAGCAGAACGATGACATCAGCAAGCAGAACGATGACGTCAGCAAACAGAACGATGACAGAAGCAATCAGGAAAATGGTGTCAGTAAACGGAATAATGGCACAAGCATTTAGAGTGACATTGTCGGCATGCAGAACAACAGGGCATGTGCATGTGCTTATCCTAAGTGCAGAAATGAGTCACGTGTTTTGTAGGCAGTATTTGAGTGATGTCAACATACACTTACAATCCCAAACAACGAAAGTGCAGGAGGGGAAAGTGCATGTGTGAACAACAAACCCCTGAACAGAAGCTCACGGAAGAAAAGTGTATGTTGCTGTGTGAATGAAAGGGCCCGAGGAAAAACTGATCTTACCGGTGCTTGTGAATACGCGCTCTTGAGTTTCAGAGGGTGTTTCACAACAGTGTCCACTCCATCACTCCCTGTTGCAATCCTTAGCTCCTCAAAGGACCATCCCCCCATTCTTCCCATCCGTCCCATCCCTCCCACTCCTCCCATCCCTCCCATCCCTCCCCATCCTAATCCTCCGCTCGCCAGAGCAAAAGTGCTGCCCCCCCACCCACTGCCATCGTTGCCCAATGCCCCCATCCCCTCCTGCCCGTTCTCATTGACAGCCACTCTCTGCCGTTTCGCCTCTGAGATGGAAACAAAACTGCCAGATGTCAACCCGCCATTGGCCGATCCCTCTGCTGTGATGCTGCTGATGGTGGTAGCAGCGGTGGTGGTGGCGGTGGTGGTACTGGTGGTGGTGGCGGTGGTGGCACTGGTGGTGGTCTCAGAAGCACCGGATTGCTCTGTCGACCAGTGCTGATTCAAGTGGGAAGCCGATTGGAACCGAACTTGCTGCTGCCCCTCCCCTCCCTCCAGCTGCCCTGATACCCTTCGCCGATCAGTGAGAGCAAGATCAAGCTGCAAGACAGGACAGGTGCAGGAGCAAAGGTGGAGGAACTGAACGGTGGCTTTTGAGTCGATGTTAAAGAGGATTTGTGACTGCCCCCCCCCAATCGGTGAGAGCCAGATTCAACTGCAAGGCAGGATGGATGGGTGAAGGACGGAGGTGGAGAGATGGAGAAATTCAACAGAGGCAAAGAGAAACTGCAGGGTAGATCACCCTAACATAATTTAGAGTTTAATGAGTCACCATGGCATAGATAAAAGCGGGTTTGTTCAAAGAAGGAACTGGAAACAACAGCAGAAAAAGAAAGGGAACTATAGCACAATAACACATCCGCCACTTCACCAGAATCTAATAGTCGGCATCTGATAAGCCTACTTGTGAAGAAGCGATAAAGTCATAGAGTGCACAATTTTGAGTCGACTCAAAACACGGCTCTTCACCAGCTATATTGAAATCACTTTTGAGAATTCTCAAAAGTGATTTCAATAGTGCACAGTTTTGAGTCGACTTAAAACACGGCTCTTCACCAGAATTTGATAGTCAGCATTTGATAAGCCTACCTGCGATGAAGCGATGAAGTCATAGAGTGCACTCTGTAGCGGCAAGAAACACACACAGACAGTGCAGCGCACCCAGAGAGAAAAATAAGAGGGAGAACAGAGTTCATTGCAGCTGCGCACGATGGCTTGGATTGGACAAGCCGAGCACAAATCCAGACAGTACAGCACACGCGGAGAAGAAACAAGAGGAAGAAATAAGAGGAAGGAAGAAACAAGACAGTAAACGGAGTTAGATTGCAGCTCCGCACGATGGCTTGGACAAGACGAGCACAAATGGGAAACTAAAGAGCATGAACGAGATTAGTGATTGGATGAACCTTCTTCTGGACTCTAGTGCTGACTTGCGTTGACTTGCATTGACTTGTAGTAACTTGTAGTGACCTCGATTGAACTTACAGCAGGAGTGGCGTTGAAATCCCCGCACACCACAACCGGGCAGCTTCCATGCTTCTTGGATAGCTAATGGGCGGCAGACAGGAGCCGGGACATCCGTGGCACTTCTGGACTTCCATTGACTTGTACTGACTCCCATTGACTGGCGCTGGCTTCTACCATACATACTCACCGCAGGGGTGGCGTTGAAATCCCCGCACACCACAACCGGGCAGCTGCCATGCTTCTCGGACAGCTGATGGGCGGCAGACAGGAGCCGGGACATCCGTGGCACTTCTGGACTTCCATTGACTTGTACTGACTCCCATTGACTTGCGCTGGCTTCTACCATACATACTCACTGCAGGGGTGGCGTTGAAATCCCCGCACACCACGACCGGGCAGCTCCCGTGCTTCTCGGACAGCTGATGGGCGGCAGACAGGAGCCGGGACATCTGGGCCAGCTTGATGTCTCCTCGCTTCGGGTTGAAGAGCACGTGAATATTGGCGAGGACGAGACAGCTGTGATTGGGGAGTTGGAATGGGTAAAGGGGGAAGGTGGTGCAGGGTGGATGGGGTTGATTAGGGTCACATGAGAGGTGTAATGTCTCCTCGCTTGGGGTTGAAGAGCACGTGAATGCTGGCAAGGACGAGACAACTGGGGGATGGGGAGTTGGAGGTGGGTGAGGGGGGGGGGGGGGGGGGGAGGAATGGTGGAGAAGGATAAAGCAGATAGAGCGGGTAGCACTGGGACAGCTGAGCCAGCTCGATCTCACCATGCTAGGGGTTGAAGAGGACGCGAAAGTTGGGGTGAACAGCGGAGGATGAACAATATCTGAGACGGGGTTTGGTGCAATTATGCAGTGGTTGGAATGTTGGTGAACGGGTGGCTCAGCACGGGTCAGTGACCCTTTAGATATTCCTCATCAGCTTGTGACCATTTCGTGATGAACTCAGCCAGAGTCACTGACCTGTGCTGAGACATCCATTCACCAACACTCCAGCACTGCATGATTCCACCAAACCACTTCTCAGGTATTGTTCATCCTCCACTGTCCACTCTGTCAACTAGGCGAGGGGCAGAGCTCAACTGACTGACTTTACTTTCTGCCTGCTGTTCTCTTCTTCTGCCTCTTCTCCTCCTTCCAGTTCCTCCACTCCTTCCCCCCCTCTTGTTTTCGAGAATTCTCAAAAGGGACAAGTCTTGCTACAAGGTGCAAAGGTGCAAAAAGTCACCTGCTATTCTCTTCATCCCTCTCTTCTCCTTCTTCCAGTTCCTCGACTCCTTCCCCTTCCTTGTTTTCTCCAATAAACTGGTTAAATGAAGAGGCGGGTTTTGGGCCACAGTGAGGTCATACGGGGAGGAAGAGGCGGGTTTTGGGCCACAGTGAGGTCATACGGGGAGGAAGAGGCGGGTTTTGGGCCACAGTGAGGTCATACGGGGAGGAAGAGGCGGGTTTTGGGCCACAGTGAGGTCATACGGGGAGGAAGAGGCGGGTTTTGGGCCAAGGAAACAGAGAAACAACTTGACAGCTTTCGATGGACCAAGTAAACCGGAGTCAACAAATTCATTCCTAACCAACAAGGTGACTCATGGTACCTTCAAAATTAGAATAGTGAGCAGGGCGGCATTGTCTCTCAGGCCAGGCCCATAGCTGCAAAATTTGATTAATTCAGAGTCAACACAGGACCACATTCAGTGCAAATGTGGGGCGAGGATGCAGAGGACGGGAGACACGAAACACAGAGCTTCTTAATAGTCAATGAATGCATCCAGGGTACCTTGAGCACGGTGAGAAGGGCAACATTGTCTCTCAGGCCCACAGCTGCAAACTCGATGGACTGAAAGTCAACACAGGACCACCTGTGATGTGCATGCGGGAGAGGAGGAAAGAAGAAGAATCGGAAGGGACAAGGAAAGAATCGGTGAAGATTTTTTTTATCCACCTCAATGATTCCCACCAAAGCAAAGTCAATAGATTGAAAATCAACACACTACCACCTGCAGTATGAAGGGAGAGGACACAGATGAAGGGGATGGGACACACGTGGGGTGGGACACACCTGGCATGGGACACACGTGGGGTGGGACACACCTGGCATGGAACACACGTGGGGTGGGACACACCTGGCATGGAACACACGTGGGGTGGGACACACCTGGCATGGGACACACGTGGGGTGGGACACACCTGGCATGGGACACACGTGGGGTGGGACACACCTGGCATGGGACACACGTGGGGTGGGACCCACCTGGCATGGGACACACGTGGGGTGGGACACACCTGGCATGGGACACACGTGGGATGGGACCCACGTGGGGTGGGACACACCAGGAAAGGGACACACAACGCATCCTAAATATGAACATACATACAACACGTGCATCAGAAAACCACATGGCTCACCTCTTGGTATTCCAGAAATTAGCGCAGCCGTCCTTGTTGCCTCCCGTGCGACACTGGAAGGAAAACAATCAAAAAGGGAATATAAGTGAGATACACATGCATGGGCACATACACGCGCATGGGAACGCACGCGTACATGCAAACAGCTTGCCTGACTAAAATAAATAGAATAGAATCAGATCAAATGAATCACATCAAAGATAATCAGCACAACCGGAAGATGCCAACGTAGCCCAGCTTGCTTTTTGAGTCGGCTCAAACCAAATCAAATCGAATCTTATCAGCGCACCTGGAAGATGCTGTCATAGCCCAGCTTGTTAAGTGCTCCACATAGATCTGCATGGTTGTCCACCTCCTACAATGCAACAACAAACAAAAGGAGCCACTTTTGATAAAAACAGTTTACTCCTCACAAGTAGCTTGTTCATCGCTCACTCCACATACATAGATCCGCATGGTTGTCCACCTCCTGCTATGCAACGCAAGAAACACGGCATGGACAGCCAAAGTGCATCTTAAAGAGATTAATCAACATGCCCCTGGATTCTCCTTGGAAATTCTCTAATGCGCATCGTCACCCCCCCCCCCCCCCCCCCCCCCCCCCCCGAACCCATCAGCGTGTATATAGAGCGTTAGTTTTGTGGAATTCTCAAAAGCGTTCATACAGTCCAGTTCAAAACCATTGAACCCTGAACCCTACCTGCAGGCATATGAGATCAGGCGAGTGCTGCTTGATCTCCTTCACGATGCCGTGCCTCCTCTGGCTCCAATGCAGCACGCCTTTGGGCACTCCAGGATAGAGCTCACGGGCGAACTTGGCAGCATGGCAGGACGCCAACACATTGTAGCTCATCACACTCACTCTCACACACGCGCCCCCTGCACCTGCTTGCCCCTCTCTATGCGCCCCCCTATGTGTGTTCGTATGTGTGCCAGCTTGCGTGTCAGCATGTGTGTAACCATGTGCGCCTGCATGAGCGTCTGCGTTTCTCTCTGCATGCACGCCTGCATGTGCGTCTGCCTGTGCCCCTGCGGCACTGCCTGTATGCCTGCCTGCACTCCCCCCTGTTTCACACGCTTTTCCCTTCTCCGCCCCTGACTCACCCCCCCTGCACCTGATCCACTGCCTCTTCTCCTCCCCTCCGCTCCCAATCCCACCTCCCCACTTTCCTCTCCCACCCTCCCCCCTCCATCTCCCGTGCTCCCCTTCCCCTTCTCCCCTGCCCCTGCCAGAACCCCAACCGCCTTGAGTCCCTTCTCTTCCTCCCTCTCTTCCTCCCCCTCCTCCCCCCCATCCTCCTCTCCCTCTTTCTCCCCCTCGTCCTCCTCCCCACCTCCCCCCTCCTTCTCTTTCTCTCCATACACCCTGTCCCCTTTGCCCTCCTCCCCTTCCGTCCTGTCTTCCACTTCCCCCCCCTCCTCCGCCCCTTCCTCCCCCTCCTGCTCCACTGTCGAACCTAGCGACTAGGCCATAAGTTGAAACCGGAGGCAAACCCACACCTTGGGAATTTCTTTGACGGTTCGTAGAAAGCTGCTGGAAGGAATTTGAGAGCGAATTCGCAGATGAGATACCGAGAAACGGGGAGGGGAGGGGCGCGGAGTGAGAAGGGGGAAACGCGGAGATGGATTGGGGAAGCGCGGAGTGGTTAGGGAGAAACGCGAAAGGGGGTTGGGGAAGCGCGGAGTGAGAAGGGGGGAAAGCGGAGAGGGAGTGGGGAAGCGCGGAGTGGGTTGGGGGAAACGCGGAGGTGGATTGGGGAAGCGCGGAGTGAGAAGGGGGGAACGCGGAGTGGGTAGGCGGAAATGCGGGGAGGGATTGGGGAGGCGCGGAGTGGGAGAAACGGCAGCGGTGGCCGAATCGGCATCCGGCGGGGGAGAGGAAGCTATAGCACACCGGCGCAGATGTATCAGCCGGAGGCGCGGACGGATTAAACGAAGGTGGAGGAATAGCCGATCCGTTCCATCCGCCGCCGCTGCCGCTCCCGCTGCCATTCACGCTGTTCTGATATCCCCGCCACGACATGGCGTGCCGCGATACAAGCACGAAAAGAAGCCCGATCGGCCCGGTAGTCGGCGTTAGACGCCGGGAACGGGAGGGCGGCAGAGAAAGCGGATTCAAAAGGGAACGTGAGGCTGGAGAGTTGGCGGTGATAGTGACGCTGAGCGCGTGGGCTGTGGTGGTGAAGCTCAGAGCGCGGATGGCGGGAAAATGATTTATAAGAAAGCACGAAACGGAAGCAGGTGCAACCCAGTTTTACTTTACATTTATTAGCACTATATACAAAACAAACTTCAAGCTGCCGTGCCCCCGTAGCTCAGTCGGTTAGAGCGTTGGTCTTATGAGCCGAAGGTCGCGGGTTCAAGCCCCGCCGGGAGCAGACTTTCTCGTCACAGCAGTTAATAAGGGCTTTTTTGCCAATGAGGCAAGAAAGGGCAAATTGGTTCCTCCTTCCTAAGGTTGGTTGGGTGTAACCCAGTTGCCAAGGGAGTCAACGGGTATGCACCCAAACCTGATCGTGAATGCGAGCCAGACGGAAACAGTGTCGCAACGATGGAAACTCACTTCGGCCAATGTCGCGCAACACCTACTTCCACAAACATGAGTACCAGACAAAGAAACCTGTCCAAAAAACGCATCAAAATTTTCCCGGGTTTCTAAGAACCAAGTATAGACACGCTACGCACGCCAACTAGCAGATGTACCGCACTGCACGCTCGCGAGAAGCTCATAAGACTAGAGGTACCTACGCTTTGAAGGGAGTCTGAAAGGGCGACATTGCTCGAAAATGGAGTGTCGTGTTCGGTGACAAAACGAAATTACAAGCGAGCCTTGCGTGAGGCCAAGGTGGAAAAGCGGACGCCATATCACACGTAACAACGCTAGGTGGCCATCGCAATCTGAGGGTTTCTTTATAATTCGAATCTTCCGGTCACCCAGCTGCATTCGCGCCATCGCGTTCGCCCAGCCGCCTTCGTGCCATCGCGTTTGCCCTGCCGCCTTCGCGCCATCGCGTTTGTCTTGCCGCCTTCGCGCCAACGCTTCCGCCCACATGCACGTGCGGCTTCGCGTTCGCCTGTTCGAAACTAGGAACGGCGGAATGAGTTTGACTAGCAGAAGATAGGTACAAGTAGGAAACCCTAGAAGTGTTGTATTCTATACTATGCACCCCACGTGCGGTTTCGCGTTCGCCTGTTAGAAACTAGGAACGGCGGAATGAGTTTGACTAGCAGAAGATAGGTACAAGTAGGAAACCCTAGAAGTGTTGTATTCTATACTATGCACCCCACTTCAGCCTAACAAACCTAACAAACCTAGCAAACATACAAATATGTTTTGACACACCCCCATAGGCTAAGTGAGGGATATCAAGAGAGAGAAAAATCACAGATGGTCACAAGACCAGTCAAGAGAAGCAACAAAGCAAATCTCAGCGCCTAGCCCGCGCCGTATTCGTATCCGTTGTCTCCACTCCGACCGTGGGGGTGAGTTTTGCTCCGGCGTCCTTGCCGAGTTCTGCGGCGAGCAGGGCATCAGACAGTTCTGGACGCTGCCGAAGTCCCCACATCAGAATGGGGTTGCTGAGCGCCGCATTGGCTTGGTTATGGACATCGCCCGCACGTCCATGATCCATGCCCGTGCGCCCCATTTTCTGTGGCCCTACGCGCTGCGCTACGCCGCGCACCAGCTGAACCTCCAGCCGCGTGTCTCGCCGCCAGAGGTTTCACCGACCAGTCTTTGGGCTGGGTCCTCTGGTGCTGGGTCGGCTTTTTGTGTCTGGGGCTGCCTTGCGCTTGTCCGCGACACTTCTGCGGACAAGCTCTCGGCTCGCGCCATCCCCTGTGTCTTCCCTGGTTTCCCGGTGGGTTCTCCCGACTACGCCTTTTACCATCCGCCCCTCCACCAGTTTCTCGACTCTCGTGACGTCCGTTTTGACGAGTCCGTGTCCTACTACACCCGGTACCCCTGTCGAGGTCTCTCGGTTCCCCCTCCCCCCCTCTTCCTCGCACCCTCTCCTCCCCATGCTCCCGCTCCTCCAGCACCCCCACCCTCCCCCCGGTCCTACCCCGTCAGGTGTGTCTCCCGCTACCCCTCTACCCTCGATCGTGCGTCAGGTAGCGTCTCCCTCCCTGCAGTCCTCCTCACAGTCCCCTCAGCAGCCTTCGGCACTTCCGCGACTGGTTACTGTGGACTCAACTGGTGTTGGAGCTGGAGGTGCAGGCACTGGAGGTGCTCGGTCTGGGGGCGCTCGTTCGAGATGTGTTGGAGCTGGAGGTACTGGCGCTCGCGGCACTAGTTCTGGGGGTGCTGGAACTGGAGGAACTGGCACTGGAGGTGCTAGTTCTTGGGGTGCTAGAGCTGGAGGTGCTGACGCTGGTGGTACTATCTCCGGGGGTATTGGAGCTGAAGGTACTGGCGCTGGTGGTGCCAGTTCTGGGGTGCTGTAGCTAGAGGTGCTGGCGCTGTAGAAGCTGGTACTGAGGAGACAGGAGCTGGAGGCATGACTACTACGGCGCCCACTGCGCCTCCCCACCGCTACGACACCCATTTCCAGGCCCTTCGCTGGCCTAAGCGCGAGGAGCAGGAGCAGTTAGAGCAGGAGAGGCAGGAGTTGCAGCAGTTGGACCAGCAGCAGTAGCAACAGCAGCAGCAGCCGCCACTTTTGCAGTAGCTGTTCCCTCTAGTGAGTGGCCTTTGGGCCCTTGGTCCTCCTTCCTCTCCTCTTGTACACGCACAATCTCCTACCGCGTACGGCTCTACGTTTCCTCCTCCGGACTCGGCTCCTGCTGTTTTCTCTCCTCCTCAATCACAGCCGTCTCCTCTTGTTATCCGGCACGACTGGACCAGTCGTTGTCCTCCACGTGCTCGGCCCTCGTCTCCTCTTGCCAACCTCCACACTGTCTTGTTTCGTTCTCCTCCTCATCGTTCTCCGCCTGTGTCTGTTCTCCCCTCACCTCCTGGGTCGTCTCTCACCGTTTCCTCTCACCCTATCACTCACTACTACCATGCTGCTCGCCCTGTTGTCTCTCGTATTCTCGCCTCTCTTGTCACTGACCCTCGTGCCTCTCCTTCGTCTGTCTCGGCTCTTACTGCCGATGTCGCTGACTTTGCTTCCACCCACCGTCTTGACTACGCCACGCGCGTGGTGGCTGCTCCACCTCCCCGTCCACTGTCCGTCGAGGGTGAGTTTGCCCTTGGCTGTGACGTCCTAGAGGACAGGCAGTTTGAGCTGGAGTTCTTAGCAGCCACTTCCCCCTCATTCTGCGCCATGCTGCTTTCCCTTGAGGGAGACCACGACGCCCTTGACATACCGACACCTTGCACGTACCGTGAGGCAGCGTCAAGAGAGTGGGCCTCTCAGTGGAAAGCGGCTATGGACGCAGAGTTAGCGTCTTGGAAATCCACGAGCACTTACGTTGACGCAGTTTTCCCTTCCAGGGCGAACGTTGTCTATGGCATGTGGCTCTTCAAGGTGACGCGGCCGCCAGGGTCACCGCCTGTGTTCGATGCGCGCTACATGGCTAGGGGTTTCAGTCAGCATGAGGGAGTGTACTTCTTCCAGACCTTCGCCCCGACCCTGAAGATGACTACTCTTCGGGTGTTATTGCACGTAGTAGCACATCGAGACTACGAGTTGCACTCCCTCGACTTCTCCACTGCGTTTCTTCAGGACCGCCTACACTAGGAGATCTGGCTGCGCCGTCCGCCTGGCTTCACTTACACCTTCCCACCTGGGACCTAGTGGAGCCTAAGACGGCCAGTCTACGGTCTCGGCCAGTCGCCCCGTGAGTGGCATGACACTCTTCGCTCCATGCTTCGTGGCCTTGGGTTTCGTCCTTCCTCTGCCGACCCATCGCTGTTTGTTCGCGCTGATTCCACTCTTTTCTTTATACTAGTTTACGTCGACGACTTGGTCTTTGCTACAGCAGACACGGCAGCTCTAGCTGAGGTGAAGTCCGAACTGCATAAGAGACACACGTGCACTGACCTCGGTGAACCGCAGCGCTACCTTGGCCTGCACGGACAGAGTCGCTCGCACCATCACACCGACTCAGTCACACATGGTGCAGCATGTCCTTCGGTGGTTCGGGTTTCAGTTCTCCACCACATAGCCCACTCCTCTTGCTGTTGACCACCGACTCACTGGCCCTTATCCCGACGAGCCCTTTGAGTCTAGTGGTCCCTACGCAGAGCTTGTGGGCTACCTCATGTACCTGATGACTTGTACTCTCTCGCTTTGTTGCGACTAGGAGACACCCTCCTGTTCATTCGACAGCTGCTGTGAGGGTGGCAAAGTACCTGGCGACTACTTCAGGCATGTGGTTGGAGGGACACATCCAGTTGTGTTGACCGGTCACTGTGACTCTTCCTATGCTGACGACGTGGAGTTTTAGCGCTCGACTCAGGGTTAGTGCTTCAGTCTGGGTAGTGCTGCTGTGTTGTGGAGGTCCACACGGTTGTTGTTTATGGCTTTGTATAGTGCAGAGGCAGAGATCTACGCTGGTGCCATGGCGGCACAGGAGCTTTGCTGGCTGACCTTCTTGCTCGCCGACCTTGGTGAGCGGCCTCGCTCTACACCGACCTTGTACGCTGACAACAAGGCCATGATCCTCCTGTGTCGAAAGCCTGGACTGGAGAGCAGAGTGAAGCATAATGACGTTAGGTACTTCCTCCTGCGAGAGTTGCAGCGACGTGGCCAGGCACGCTTGGACTTTGTGGCCTCAGAGGCCAACACTACCGACGTCTTCACCAAGGCCTTCGCGCCTGGTGACCACCACAGGTTCTGTGTGCATTTGGGGCTTGTTGAGGTAGGCCCTCGGTTGCTGTAGACTTAGTGTGGCTCACTGCGGTGTGGACACATTCACTTACATGGTTCAACGTGTCGCATCGCGATCATAGCATCACGTCGAACCATCACAGCATCACATCGATCCATCACCTGTGATTCGAACGAATTTCCAGCCTAGCACCCAGGGCGTCCTGCCATGGCATCCTGCCAGGGCGTCCTGCCAGGGCGTCCAGCA